AATTACGAGTGTTCCCTTCGTTAGACGAACGTCTCGCACATTTTCCGCACGCTGGTTGCGCTCACAGATTTTCATTTGCCAACAATGTCTCTAAGATCGAGCTCGAAAATAAAATACACACGCTAATTAGACGAAAAAGAAAATCTTATTAGAAAGAGACGTATTGATGTCTGTGATCGAGAAGCTGCATTTTGTTACTTCAATTATAATTATGAGAAAATTAAAAAGTTAATGATTATTCTACATTTTTATATGGAACATTTCTAAAGAAGACTGGCACTCCTAAAATTCTTATCGACAAGAGTGATAAATATTTTTAGCATTTAACAAATTTTTTAATGGCTTTTGACACAAAAAGTAGCATAAAAGTTAAATTGTTTCAACATTAAATTATATCAAATGATATAATTTAATTACTTTAATAATCACAAGAAGACACGTAAATATAGATTTCAAGCGGATAATAAAACTAAGTTATTCATAACTCTATCAAGAAATAATAATGTCCGCGTGATGTGTATGCGGTACGGTTAGTCACTTATATACAATGTATGTGCACTTATTTCTAATTCAGAAAAAAATCACGTCTCGCTACAGTTTAAAAAATTAATATCGTAAAAGCGAGCACTTTTTTTTACCGGTGCTGTATTCGTAGTGGATTTCGACCGCGTTTCCTACGAAAACATCCCCCGCTCCGGATAAAGAGCCGTTGGGAAAATATTAACTTTACACAATAAACATTTTTATTTACTCGTTGCTCGGCCACGCCAACATGAGCGCATGCGTTCAAAGGAAAAGTTTTATCGGAACTACGTTGCCGATCATGTTATTTTTTTCCGAAACTTGTTTTCCAGTTGCACGTTATCGCTCGTTTTCATCGTTGAAACAGTTATGATAAAATATATTATCATTAATCGTCCCGGGGAGAATATTTGTTAGCACTAATTGCTCGGATAAATTAATTAATACATTTTTCTTTCTCAGTACATATTTTTTAGCCAAATTTATAAACGTACGAATTATTGAAAATTATTGTTTCTCGCTGTTGGCGAGTTCCTATTTTCTTCGACGATGCTTGTAACTAATTTTAATCGTGGTCGATTATATAGACAACATTAAAATTTATAAAACATTGCTCGATGTTACGGATCGCAGAATAAGGATATATTCGAACTATCGCACAATTCTTGCGAGGAAATGAACAATATATAAATAATTAATAAATACAATCAATCTCTAACAGAAGTTGTTGATTGCAAATTATGTTACATCTCCAGTGCTAAAAAAGGATCTGTTTACGCGAAGATGCGAGGAATGTTATTTTATACAAAAATACATACGCGGAATAAAACATCGAGTGCGTCATTGCATCTCCGCGAGAAGAGAATCTGAATATATACAGCAGGTATATCGATTAACCGAGGAAAAAAGGCGGAAGTTATAAGTGCACATGCGATCGTTGAAATATAAATATTTCTTTTTATCATGTCATTTCACGATGTCACTGTGTGAATGTCGAAAGAAACCTCGTGACAAAATTAATTCGGAACTTGAAATGTTTCAAAATAATTCAATTTATATAATGTAATTCCGTACGACGGGGCAATTAATTTTCACCTTTTTTTCTTGCACACATTTGCAAATTGTATTTTTATCTTGATGTAACGAGCGGAAAAAAGAGGACATGCGTCATTCGTGTCATCGACGTCACCTCGCGTCACCTTCGCACCTCAACGTCACGAGCGTGATCGCGCGAGGGTCATTCGATCATGAATTATGCGCCGTTGAGAAATTGTTTGCGGCCACCGGGGTTGACACACGACGCCCTGGCCACGTTTATGACATGTATTCAAAGATGACGAGAAGGGATGCAAAATTTGTTGTCGCGTCACAGGGGAAAACATTCGCGAAACCGAACGACCGTCGTGGTTTTCCTCTCTTTTTCTCTCGCGGCCTTCTCTCCCGTGCATTAAAGTTGTATCGCGCAATTGCACTGCCCACGAGGCGAGAGAGCGAAATATCGTCTCGAACGACGATTTTTATGAACAGGTAGTCGCTAGCGCAAATAAAACATCGTCCAACGAACCGCGATGAAATGGAAAAAATTATTCATACGTCTTTCTAAAAATAAAAAAGAGGAACTAGGTGCGCGCAGAATTCGACGGAAGACCATTTGATTCTTGCTTTTTTTTTTATTTGTCAATACACGTCGATCGACCAATAATTGATGCGCCTGACAAAAATTCTAGCTTTTTATCAGCACCTAGGATAGATGTGCATTTATAAATATAAATAGCGATAATTCAGTGAAAAGAAAATAGGACGTATATACCCAACAGTAAAACTCTGCAAATTAAAGTGACCATTTAACGCCGGTGATAATTTATCCGATAATTTTGCGGCTCGGAAAAAAAAGGGCGTGCAATCGGTAGCCGCCAATAATAAAAAACGCAAACGTCGCAAACGCACCGCGTATTTCAAGTTATATTTACGAGAAGCCGCGTATTTGCGCGCACGCGTGTGTACATTTCGACTTCGGGATGATTTATCGCAAATGGATTTCAAACAATTCGAACGGGTCCAACGATTCTTTTCGCCCGCTTCCCCTTTTCAGTCAAATCGATCGTAATGGGAAAAAAAAAATCGGAAAAAAGAGACCGTCCGCGCATTCGTCGAGATATTATCGCCTCGCGACAGTATAGCGTGCACGGATCGTTTAACTTTCAAAACCTGCGACACATAATTTTTTTTTTATGAATATCAGCATTCGATGATAAGCGCCGCGACGTGGATTCGTGCACCAAATTTTTATAAAACTGGGATGATCGCCGGCTTGCAAATTAAGTTGAGAGCGAGATATCGATCTCTATCGTGCATAGGTCCAGAATAGAACAACCTGGTTAACGGCGATACATAATTATAGCATGTATATCATTAGACACGCAGGTTGATTTTATGTGATAATCTTATAATAATTTGTGTAATATACAGTACTTGCTTTTAATTCGCCGCATTACGAAACCATGACCCATTTATTCCACCTTGCGCGCGACGTACGTGAAAATTATTGGAACGTAAAGCAAACAGAGAATAGTTATGCACTCCGTCATAAACTGAATTTCTCCCTCTCTCCCGCTAGGAGATTAGAACCGATTATCCCTTCCCCGAAATACATATATATACGTTATCAGGCGCAGCCTCAGGTGTTGCAGCTACTTCGAGCTAAGTCGATCTTGTCACGCGAACATCCTCTACGTGTGTCATCGGTAATTGCGTGGATTTAATGTCAGTAAATGCACAACACCGAATATCAATCTCACCGCAAATGCGGTTGCCATGTCGGCCAGACTAATATTAAAGCTGCATTGTGATTAACACTACTGCACATGAACGGTGTTAAATCGTGTGTTTTGTATTGACGCGTGCGAATTGACAAGTCGCTTTCGATGTAAATTGATAAAAGCGATTTGTGGGGAGAGAGAGAGAGAGAGAGAGAGAGAGAGAGAGAGAGAGAGAGAGAGAGAGACATGAGATAAAAACGTAAAATCTGATCGCAAATGAATGAAGAGGACCATATTTGGTCCAGGTCGGTAATATATTCGTGTGAATTTTTACAATTTCCAGTTCAAGCAAATTGCGTACCGATTATTTGTCGATTTTGAAATATAGTCGTAGATTGAAGTTGAAGTACACAAATATCATAAATAAAATTGATAAGCAATTTAATATTATTGATGAATAAGCAAAAACAAAACTTCAAAATTTTAAATAATTTATTGCAAAAATATCACCTCAGCCAGAATTCAAACTTGGATTTGATGATATTAATCACAATAATAAAGGTAAAGTCCTCAGTGACTGCCGATCCTATCTAAGTCCGGACTCTTATACTCTTAAAATTTATCATTAATCTAATGCTCTTTTTATTACAATATTATAATTAATTATATTTAAAGATTACAATTAAATTATAATATTATATTTATAATAGCATTTTAAATTAATAATAATATAAATAAATATATATAATATAAAGTTTTGTATAAATACTCGGACATAGGAAGAACGTCTTTAAAATTCGAACTAAAAAAGAATGGAAAAAAATATCTCACGAAGGATTGGAAAAATTCACTTAAAAAGATGAGAGTTTCAAATTCAGTTAATACATCGGCGACGGAGGAAATACGTGGTTGCAACGATCGATCTCGATGGACGTTCGAGAACACGTTGTTACGCTTGGTCTACCAAAATCACGATCTCAAAGCTTTACGGCCGGTCTTAAAAACGTGAGCGAAAAGAATCGTCGACAGAACGGCCCGTCAGAGGGGCACTCGGTAAACGTTTGTCGTTTGCGAACTATTTGAGACGTAACTACGCGTACACGAAGGAAAGAGCCTCCACGAGACCGTTAACGGTTGAAAGCCGTTAGACCCTCTAACTCTTCGATTTTCCCTCTTCTTTCGCTCTTTTCCCCTGACGCTTTTCTCATTATCCACGGGTAATCGTATCCGTGGCGCAATCGCACACGACCGGATCCGTATAATCGAGACCCAAGCTCGCAGTTTCACCGAGTGGCTGTCTCGCCCGAAGTGCACAAATCGTGCGCATTAACTTTTTGCATTCACAAGCAATTACGTTTATTCAATGATTAAAAGCGTTCTATCAAATGATCCTTTTCTTTCAACCTCTTTCTACACGATAAAATTATCGAAGCTAAAAGCAACGACCTTAATTGACAAAAAATAATTTTCAATTTTTTTTCTCACAATTTAGCAAATTTAGGAAAAACACACGAATCGTATTGCGCCAATCTAATACGTTACTTACTATACCACATCTCTCATGTGAAAATAATCGAAAAACTCCGTTCGCAAATATGGCAGACGGCGTGAAAACAGTTCGGAGGAAGTTTCCGGTTGGCTGAAACTTGCCGCCGATATTCGTCTTCACTTAAGCCAATCTCTAACCCCCCCTTTCTCATCCCCCTTTTTCTCTCGTAGTGGCTCGGTCTGGGTATCATGGCAGTGGGCGTCTGGGCATGGACCGAAAAGGACACCTTCAACAACCTGTCCCGCCTCACAAACGTCGCACTCGATCCAGCATTTATCCTCATTCTAGTCGGTGAGTACTCGTCTTTTTCTTCTTTTACTCCCTTTTTCTCTCGCGACTCTCGAAAACGCACGGAGAGTTATAACTCTCTTCGAGTGCCGAACTAAACTTTAGTTTTAGGATTTCCTAAAAGTGATCTTGGAAAATTCTGATTACAAATATAATATAAACAATACGTTATCTTGATAGAAAATTATCAAGATTTTAATTCTTTACGCGAAATTATTCCTATAAATATCGAAATATTTTTTCGAATATTTGGAGAAATTCCATCAGACCATTAGCGAAATTAATGCGTGAATAATAGAAACGTATTCGACTGAAATTTGCTAACTTTTAGAAATATTCAAATGTAAATTCCGATTATTTTGGGGATTTAAGGATTTAAGAGATTTATATTCTGTTTTTCAATTTAGAACAATGTGAAGTAACATTAGAAGCATACGGGAGATTTTCATAGGGTATGTGAAAGTAAACGTAATAAAAAAGAAGGGAAATTACCCCAATAATGCGTCGGCTGATTGCGGTGAGAGTTTCGCAGTTTTCCGACATTTGGTGCGTTCCCTTGGCAACAAAGACGGTAATCGCAATTTTTCCTCAGAACTATCAGCGAAGAGGCTATCGTTTCCATCAGCGGAAACATTTCGCACGACCGCGCGGTCGTAACTTAATTTCTATATTAACGCCACTCGGGCGTGCGGTGGCCTCGTAATGGTTGCCCGAGGACGGCATTCGTTCTAATTCGTCCGCGATATTTCGCGCGTTTCCCTCGCGCGGAAGTCGCGTAATGCGCCGTCCGACAATAGCACGGATTTGTAATTTGGATAAGGTCAGAGGAGCTATAGCTTACCTCTGCGAGAAGCAAGCATGACGCGAGCCGGAAATTAAGGTGTCTGCATAGTCGTGAATTTTCCGAATAGTTTAAATCCTCGGAGAAAAACAAATTCGTTAAAAATCTCATACTTTTTAACTTTCCCTCTTTCTTTCTTTTTTTTTTACTCTTCAGACTCGGCGGAAAGAATCTGCCATCGAAGTTAAGGTCGCGAATTCCAGGACGTTCTATAAGTACCTTTCGGAAACGAGGGATTTAAGAGAGCAATGTAACGGTGTAGAGATAGACTATTTACCATTTCCACTTCTTATAATCATTCAACCGAGACTCCTAGCAAGACAGACAGACAGACAGAAATATACTGCGGCACTTTGAAGTTCAGCCTCTGTCTGAAGTTGAAATTCAATATCTCGTCTTATATTATTCGGGCACGCGCTTCTGCGCTTTGCTTCTCAGAAAACAATCTTCGTACAACTGCGCGCGTTGGAGATTCGAAAAATTTTCATCTCGCTAGTCTGATTTACGAAATACTTTTTTACAGATGCGTCAGAGGCTAATATCAGAAAGTCAATAGAACATAAGTAATTTGTTCGCTTTAATGTAATTATTTGGAAAAATTGAAAGGCAAGATAACACGTTGGCATCCTGTCATTATTACGTCAAGAAAGAACCAGCAATTATTCTTAGCGCCTTTCACGTTAATGTGATATCGTGTAATAAGCTTTTACGTTCGCGTCAAGTAATTTTATTCATTTACAGCTATAACACATAATTAATAATTACATATTAATTTTTTTTCCACAAGGGATACATAGTTTTGCTTATCATGCAAGTAAATATTTATCAAAGTGTTTCATAGAGCTTGTTTATAAGATAATAATTCCATTTCAATTAACACAACGACTGCACTGAATGAAAAGGTGAGAATAAAAAAAGTGAGTGAGAGAGAGAGAGAGAAATAATCAGTATTACTTAAATCATTTTATATCGGTGAGAGAAAAAATACTCAGTAATTTTTCGACCAAATCGTTCTTTCGTAAACTTTAAATTAGACGGAATGATGAAATGAAAAATAATTCAAGTCCATTCCAAATAATCGTAATGTATAAAAATGATACGTGATTCTGTTCAAACGCAAGAACTCTTATGAATCGAAATCTTAAAGGTAATGACACAATTTTCTCGCCACGAGGGTGGAAGATAAGTTACATGCACGCGACATTATCGGCCATTAAAGGGTGCGTTTTGCCTAACGCGGGAGAGGAAGAGCTTTTTGTCGGTCGCGATCTTGATAACCTATTTTCACATGATGTTCGCGATCATTAGTATGTACAAAATATATTTCAGTATATAGATGCAAAGCAAATACAGAGATTCTTCTTGAAAAGTAAGAATCGAGTTTTATGATAACACTAGAAATTATGATTCAAACGTCGAAGCATAAAGCAGTTTTATCTTCGAATCTGTCAGACTCTTAATTTTCGTCAAAAAACATACCCTATTTTTACGTTGAATAACTAAATATCTCTGAATCATGGAGAGAACCTTGCGGGATTTTGGAGGGCCAACGGAACACTAATTAAAATGGATACGACGGATACGGAAGGGTTAAGGGTGCGCTGACAGAAAGCGCATTCGCCGTCATCCCCCTCGATACGTTTCCATTAACTACCACAGACTCTCTCTCCGTTTCGCGACGCGAATGTAATATTCTGTCTAATACACGTACTCTACCGGCAAATAGACGCAGATTGTGCGCTTCGGTCCTTCCACTTCCGTTTTCCTCTCTCCCTCCTCTCTCCTCTTTCTTTCTCTTCCTCTAATAGGGTGCCAAAGTTTTAATTGGATACGAGCCAGTGGTGAGACGACAGACATAAAATTAGAACGAGGTCATCTGCGTCCGATTTATTTCGCCGGGTCCTCCGAGTTGCGTCCCCCGCAATGTTACGAACGTCACGTTTCCGCAATTGCGGGAGGATGACATTCCCAGTTCGTCGCCGCGGGATGTGATGCCATGAATCGAATTACACACCGAATGTGTACACGTGGATTCCGGGAGAGATTCTGCGCTCCGGAAAGCCGGCCGCGCGTTTTCGAAGCGGTCAACCGCGCGCGCGCCATAATAGCGAGAATGCTTCCGGGAATGCCCGGCGACTGAATTCAAGCCGTTACGATTCGGAGATACGACGGTTGGCCTGCGGTACGGCGACGTTCTCTGCGGGACGTCGCACGGCCCAAATCGAATTTGCACGTGATCCGGCACACCGGAAGAACAACGAAACGGTACTCGAGTAACCGATCGAGTACAAAAGTGGGAGTCGATTTGTGGGGGCTCATCCATTTGTTTACCCCATGTGTAGAAACAATTCTCTCGAAGTTTGAAGAGAACGGCGACAAAAGATTAGTGTGTGCTCGTTCTATTCGTCACCTTAGTCGAATTCACTAGTAGCAGTACTTACTTTCAATTATTCGTTTGACGGTACTGGAAGATATTCATTAAATTTCCATTGGAAATTATATTACATTGAAGATAAAGAGAAAAGAGCTCCCTCTTTTCTCTCTTTATCTGTAATGTAATATAATTTCCAATGGAAATTTAACGAATATCTTCCAATACGGTACAGTGCATAAAACAGCGAATAAGTTTCTGTATCTACATCGAATATGTTATTATCAGTTTTCCTCTCCTCTCCCCCAGAAGGAAAACTGCTAATATCCGATGTAGGCACAGAAACTTATTCGCTGATTTATGCACCGCTCCTGTTTTGCGAAGATAAATGTATTCGGTTAATTTTGTTCATTGGGCTACGATTGTAATACAAGCTAAATATTAATTTAATATTTACCATTCGAAACGATATTTACGTTAATATTTAAGTGAACGGCGAACTATCCTGTTGTTTGACTTCGAGTCATTAAATGTTTGTTCAGTGCGGTAGTATTTGAGATTACAAATATTCGCTGCAGCTGATCAAATGTCAATAGAGCACTGCTGGCTGAAAATCTTAATACAACTGTACGTGTACAATGTAGAAGAAAATTTGTTGAAAAAATGCTAGAATTATGTCGTCATTCAAGCAACATTTTCATCGAAGTAATCGACGTATTCTATGTACCTTGTATATACTTAGGAAAGCGACGCGCTTGTTAATTATTTCGTACTTGCGTAGTATACTCTATCGACTTGAGCCTGGCTTTTCGATTATCCCATGCTCCAATTACTTCCATTTACTTTGACGAGTAACTCTGCCTCTTCCGGCTTGCGCTTAATTTAGCGTAACGGTTACCAGATAACAACGATTTAGACTTAGCTACATTACGAAAGTTATAACGACGATCGAAAACAGATTACATTTTTAGCGAGAACATTAACGCTTAGAATTAAAAAATTATGCTGTAGGCAGATATTATAAACCAACGTCTTATCCGTCGCGACATAAATCCACCATTTAGCAAAATTAATCTAAGTTTCACAATTATTCTTCAAAATTCCTTAACAACGTAAATACATTTCAAAAAAATTATTCCGTGCTTTCCAATGTTTATCAATCTCGAAACAAAGGTTGGAAAAATACGCGTTCGAAAATCCGCCTAAAATTATTAGTACTGTTGCCTGCCAAAGTCGCGAGATATTCCAAATAAATCGTAACTTGTGCAAAGAGAAACACTAAATCCCGGATTACATTTATTTTCCGCGCTTAAACAAATGCGATCGCAATTGAGTACTGCGTTTTGATTTCTATCCGAGTATACGTCCTGATCGAACAATATGAATCGTAATTTCAAATGATTTTAATGAAACATCCGTAATTTTGGATACCGCGAATTAAATTAATTGCAAGAAATCGGATCTAATTAAAATCACACTACAAAAGAATCCACTTCTATTACTCACGGAATACATAGATCAGGAAGGAAAGCACGAAAGCCTAGATTATTCTGTATACATCGATCCTCTTTTTTTTTTAGTCAATGAAAACCTACTAGAATCGAAACAGATATTATCGATTCACCGTTATATTCGCGTGTTGCGAAGCGAGATCAAACGTATACGTTCCTCTATCCTGCAACTTTATTACCATACGACATAAAGCAACGTTGCAATATTGCAAGAGTGGCAAAGCCCTTTCGTCTGCCATTGACTCACACCTGGCTCCTTTACGAAACATTGATTGCGTACCAAATATTAACCCGAATGCGAGTTGAGATACAGCGTACAAAACAAAATGTCTTTATAGTAAAAAAAAAATGTGTATTTTTTTAATAACAATAATTGCATTCATCACTAATAAAAATCCATGTAATTAAAAAAGTAGGTATTGTACTTTCATATGCTTAACATGTTTAACGTACAAAATGCCCTAATAGTTTCATCCTCTATAAAAATTTTCCAACTGCTCTTTCAAGTAGATACACGTTTCTACATTCGCACTTTTCGTTTTTCTTCATCGAGTTTTTTATCCGAGCGCAAAGCGTTTCATCGTTGCCATTTTCTTCTAGTTCGTGGCAAGGCTTAACAAAAGTTCCGAAAGTAAGTCTGGACTAATTATTCAGTTACTTGAAAGAGCTCCGTTCCACGTTCCCCGTCTCTGCTTTACCATCGGATTAAAAGTTACCCCCTTCCGGAGCACGTTCTAAAATCTTATAACTTTCGATGATAGATAAAATTTATTAAGTCCGATAGCGCGGAGTTTGACTTATAATCGTTTTCTCGATGCAACTATAAATTCTTTAATACACCTAAATCATCTCTATCAATGCTACTTTAACAAAATCTGCTTTGAATCATTTCGAACATTTAATTTACGAGAACTATATATGTATATGTAGAAATATTACCTATTTAAACGAGAATACATCGCTAAATCTTTGCCAAGGATTGATAAATGTTCTCAGTTTTATTACACTCTCTTCAATATAAAATATAAAATTCAATTTTTCAGTTCTTGCTCTCGAAAATTTTGTTGCAAATTTATGTGTATAATATACGCATGAAAGCTCTCATAATAGTTTTAATGCAAACGTATTGTTTTATACAGAAACTAATAACATTTTGCATATTAAATAAAAGGCAAAAAAATTGCTTGAATGCACACCGATTAATTGTGATAACAATGAATTTCGAACATTTGTGCTCGCGTACTTTTTGTTAGCGGAACACACGGAATTGATTTAGCGCTCATTACGCGGCACGCTCGTCCGCAGGTAGCAGATAATTTCATAAATATTCCGCATTACCATCGGCGCAACACGGTACTGTTGATGACGCACTCTCGGTAAATTCAATTGGAACGCAGAGGAATTTTAATATAATTACTTGTGTAAACTACAAGCGTTCGCAAACCTACGTGTAATTAATATGTGGCGTATGTTCGTAAATCAGAGTTGTTACGCAAGTGAAATTCCAGAACTACGAATTTCCTGATATTGCTGGCTGATAAAAATCTCCTCTTTGTGAACCAAAAATTAAAAGAAAGAATGGTAGGCAAATAAAGAGGTCAAATAAAAGAAAATACTTTATATATTAAAATTATATGTGTAATAATGTTTATATATATATATATATATATATATATGCACATAATTTTATATATTACTACGTACATATAATTTTTTCATGTAAATATGTACATAAATTTCGATTTATAATCTATCGATTTAATTAGAACGTCAATTACTATCTAATAAATATAACTCTTTGTCCTGATTTTCTCCGATGTTCCCGAATCATTTCAATCCTTCTGACTTAGCTGTGATTAAGTTTTTCCGGTTTTCATGGTTTTTTCATGCACTTCGTTGCAGATCTATAAATGTAGGAACCTGGGAATTCACACCGGCATAGCATGTCGATGTGGGAATGAATTCACCGGTGGGACCCACCGCTCATAACTCACGATTATACGATACATTGACGAATGCATTCGTGTTCTTCGCGTTACATTTCGTGCGATGACGAAGTACCCGATACTATTTATTCTGTTGCAGGTACAGTGACATTTATCATCGGTTTCACGGGATGCGTCGGCGCGCTACGGGAGAATACGTGCCTCCTCGCCGCGGTGAGTGTCCTATGGGATTCAATTAAATTCTTTCTGAATTACTTTAATTGCCCAACATCTTTCGGATTTTCGAACTTTGATCAAGCTTTCGATTCGTTATATGATATCTATGGTCTATCATTGGCTGACCGCACGCGATTGAACGAGAGTTTGCTCTTTGAGAAATGTAACGTTTAAAAGTACTTAAAACGAAAGACTCTGCTTTCTAAATGGTGAACTTTTGAAATTTAGAGCTTCCCAAAAAGAAATGAATCGTTGAAAAGATGGTTCTAATGGACCATCAGTAAGTAGGACAATGATAAGTATTCTCCCTTTCGCTCTTTTCAAACAAATCTCGACAAAATTAATTTTAATTAAATTAATTTTATGTTGCAGTACGCGATATTTTTAGCACTATTGCTGTTAATGGAAATGACTGTCGGTGTTTTGGGATTTATCTTCAAAGATTGGGTAAATATTATATACTTCGTATAATTTTAATAAAGTCATCATATACAAGTTATAATACAATAATAATTACAGGCAAAATGTGCCAAAATATAAACGTGTATAAATCATGTTTAAAGATATTTGTAGTATAAACATATAAATTTAGTGAACATTAAAATAAGATATTATAGGTAATTTGTAACTATACTGATTTATAATAATATTATTTGCATATTGCTCTGTGCGCATTTAATTATTCATGATATTTCGCAGATGATATTTCGCGGAACAGACAGCTTTCCTAAAATTTATCCTGCACAATTATACGCAACATTTTCAAGGCAAGTGTTTCTCGAGATAGTTCTACTGCGTTTATTCGTAATCGTTTCAACTTACCGCATTTATTAATTCAGCAGTTATGAGAAACGTGGTTATTTTATCAAAGCGAATATGCCGAATGCATTGTACAATATATTCGTCGGTGCATATTTCACAATCTAATTCGCTGTGAGTATATGTATACACCCGCGCGCGAGGAAGACGAACACGTATATAGAGTACAGTCTAGGCCGGGCGCCGACGAAGTTTGCGTATAATTATGCAGCAGGAGAGTTCCTGGGTTACTAATTAATTCCATTAACCGTATCCTTTAAACATGACGAGAATTTTCTCACGGTAGAAAATTTCGGACAACCAACAAACGTGCCATCGTATCCCCGTACTTGTACGCAGCTCGCGTTTTAATGCGCGCCATTCTACTTTACGACCGGAAAGTTAAATTCGTTCTTGAGTAATTGCAACACTTGTGACACTCGTCGATCATCGAGAGGAAATATCCTGAATTGGAAATTACTGATCGTAATAAGTTACTTTGTAAAAATTACGAAACTTCGATGCACGATCTTATCAGATATTTTTTTCTTTTATTTCGGGCGAAAAAATTGAGACAGATAGATTGAAAAATTTTAGAATCGATCTCAGAATGATAATTAATTAATAAAAAAATAGACTCAGTGACGTTAATTAATGTAATATTTTATTCACTATGCAGATAAAATCACAAGCTACGGGGGGCTTCCAAGCGTTCATTATCCACTACAGAGAGGATCCTGATCAGCAGAATCTCATTGATTGGATTCAAGAAGATTGGGCAAGTTGATTATATCAGAATTCAATTATATTACTATAACTATTAAAGTAACTTGACATACGGCGCTTCCGTCGCGTTTCGTTACCCCGCCGGAATATCGAATCACCGAAACCGAACGTACACCGGCAGCCTTTATAAGCAGGCGCACTCGCATTTCTAAGTAGTGCAGGAAGTCGTGCGGTCAGACGGTTCCCGAAACGCGAAGCTCGCGCAAACTTTATCGAATAGCCGCAGCACGAAAATCTGGCCAGGTTCCGAATGCCACGCGGCGGCATCCAAATGGCGCGTAATATAGTAGCATTCGACAATCGATATCCAGTCATCCAATTGTGGTTTATGAGATTTCAATAGAACCGCTCGGGTACACTGCCGCAATTTCGGTAATCCTATCAGTAGAAGCTAGTCGATGGTAAACCACACACGCGCTCGCACGTTGCACCGCGCGTTACCGCCGAACTAGATCTACCGAAAATTTCATTCGATTCGCTATACTTTACGAGCACGGGGCGCGACAGTGATTTACATTCGGCCAAGTATCCAGCAGAACGTGAACCGCGAGAATTAATTTAACCAACGAATCCGTCGCGCGGTTAGTGGAATTCAGTTTTGAGTAAAAAGCGAACGTTCGCCACGAGAATGAACGAAGTCGATATCGAAACATGCCGCGAGAGGTTTGTGTCGTTTCATAGCCATACAGACGTGACGTAGATTGTCGGATTCATCGATCAATATGTACGTACACACATAAATTATTACGCGACGCGAGCACATACGGAAACATTTGCAAACTGATTCGGTTAATGTTTGAATGCGCGGGTTTTGGAACCGCTGATGAATCCGCAAGCGTCGAATTACCACCACAATTCCATCATCGGTGGACCATCGTGTCTAACGGATTCTCATTCCATGATCGTTAATACAACAATTCGCATTTTAACAAACTATACTGTAAAAATTCACAATTATACCCAATTGGATGTTACGTCTAATCATTTCTATAAATCTGCCTCTACTCAATACGTCGTTACTAAAACAATAAACAATTTAACTCAAAGACATATTATAAATTTGACTCAAATCTAGTATATTATTTACTAAATGCAAATGTCAATATGGACGTCGTTTATTTTGAAACTGATTAGTGATTACAGAAATAAATTGACTCATATTTTGACATATATGGAAGTTAAAAATTACAAAATATTATTTTTTTATTGGAATTGAGTTGCTCGTTTAGATATCTCCTGTTAACAGTGTAAATAATATAAGATTGATAACAATATTGTATAACACTCAGGGTTGCCACAATGAATTTTAAAATTCTCTGACTTTTCCAGGTTTTCCAGATGAAAATAGAAAATTTTCCATGAGTAATATAAAATATGTAAATTTTAACATTTAGACTCACAGATTGCAAAAAAGTTAGCCTATATTATTAAAAACAATGCAAAAAAAACTTAGTACAATTTTGGGTTCAAATTCAAGACACAAAAAATAAATTAATTTTGGAAAAAAAAATGCAGTTATGACGAAAAAGAGGGATCAAATAAAAATATTGAATAAATTTTAATTATTTTATTAAAATCATTTAAAGTGCACAAGTTTTGAACTATGATATATATTTGACTATAAACATCAGGTATAATATTTAAAAAAATTATAATAATTATCTGGAATAGGAACAGTATCAAGGAATTGTGAGCAAATTTTGAAATCCCAGACTTTTGTACATTTTCCCCTGGCATTTTCCGGTTTCGATGATCAATTTTAATTTCCCTGATTTTTCCTGGTTTCCCCGGTCTGTGGCAATCCTGAACACTTTTTCAGTCTAATTAAAATTTATCAGAAATTATATTAATTGAATACATTTATGAGGACACTATTCTTGAATTCCGAGGTTAGAGACCCTCACAGAGTATGGTCACAAGCGATTCTGTCAAAATCCTACGAGAGAAAAGATATATATATATATATATATATATATATATATATATACTTTCTCTCTGTACACTATTTTACTTTAGCTTATATTGTCTCACTTCTATAATCTCTTAATTGAAGTTATAGAGTGAGACAGTATAAGTTAAAGTGAGATATGTATATACGGGGAAGAAATATATATATATATATATATATATATATGTCTTTCTATTCCGTAGGATTTTGACAAAATCGTTTAACCAGACTTTGTCAAATATCACTACGGCATTGCAAATTCTGTAGGATGGATTTTGCGAACGTGTGGCACTTTTATATATATATACATATATATATACACAATATCATGATTCACTTCGGATTCAATGATATTTTAGAGGAGTAAGGTGATTCCGTCTTATCTAAAGATATGATTGTCGATTTCGGCGCAGTATCATCGAACTCGTTAATCGATGGTCGGTCGACCAATTGTGGTTTACGAGATTTCAATAGAAACGCCCGGTATGCCGGTGCGCAATTCCGGCAATCCTATCAGCCCTAGGGAAACCGAGGCACTACCGAGTTGCCATATACCGCATTGTCTGATCCCGTCGGGATTCACTCGGTACCATTTATAGGCGGTTAATGAAATGCTTAGTACTTCGACTTCGTGCGGTGGCGCGGAGCGTATTTACCGTCGCCATCCCACTTATCAATTGGCTTAACTTGGCCGGTTTGGTCCGATGCGATCGATATACAGGATGTATCAAGAGAGATGCGTAACGATCAGCAAACGAGAGAAATTCTATCCTCAAAAGAACTTCGAGTCGATTTTTCCATAATAAATATTTCATTCTATAATACCTCTCTATACATTCTATTCTTCAATATTGATCCAAAAATCTAAATTAACTTTCTTGTTATCATTCGGAGATCGTATAATGACGATAACAAATTGAAATATGTAGTACGAAGATTCTGTTACATTCGCCTGAATTTCGATTGTATTTCATCGTTATATGTTCTAGGTCTATAGTTTAAGCGTACGGCGAAATTCTCGCCCAAAGAGAAATCGATGGCGAATCGCGCTGAGCTTGTTGTTGATCTCTCTTGATACAACCTGTACAGCCGTCGAGCGAATAATAATTAAATCCAGCTACAATCGGAAACTCGTATCTCGTATCTCAATACTCAACTCGCATTCGCATCTCGTATGAATATTCCGCGCGCCAGCGTTTCGTATTATGAATATTTGATTGAAACAAATTGAAACGTTACCGCACGAATAATTTAAATAAAATAAAATGAGTACGCTGAAAACAAATCAGTTAAATTACGTAGTTGCCTGGAATCCGGGCTTGATATTATCTTTCAATGCTCAACATCGAGCTTTCCCTTTCTCGATTTCCCTCGATATCGGCTTTGCGTGATAACCACTTCTTCTTATATCGTGATAAAGAGAATCATCTAATTAATCGAATTCATAGGAAGCACGTGCGAAACGACAAATGAGGCACTCTCACATGCAACTCCGTTATTAATAATTGAATTCGTGATATTCTCCCTATCGATTTTCTATTTTTAACCCTATGCAAGAATCTAATACACTTCGCGCCGGGTAATTCATTTTTATGCCGTTTAATTAAACGTGAAATATCCCCCATCTCGCGGCGACTGTCGTACCGAGAAATACGAATATTCCCATGGTTAATTAATTATACGATAGAATCGCGAGATACGTGTATGTTCGCTCGCTGGCTGATTAATCAAACACATATAACATTATATTAACTAGCGATGTAATGTACGTTACACTTATTATTGGCAAGAGATTTTTTCCAAACGAATTGACATTTGCAAGATCGATGGATTAATTATTGCAGACAATCGATGCAAACGCTATTACACAGTTATATGTGGAATTAATGTCACGTTTAAAGGAAAATTTATCATTCTTTATAAAAAATTCATCTCTTTGCTGATTCTTACATTTAATGGCCGGATTAGCGTGAAAAAAAATTACTGAATCAATGGGGACATATACGGGTAGTCGAGAAAGAAGAATAAAAGTTTCAGGCTCGTATAGAAGACAGATATTGGGGTTTAATGAAGGTCGGAGACTTCGATTGCAACCAAACCTCCTTGCCAACTGAATCCAACTCACGTCATTCCACGGCCTTTTTTCTTGCCTTAATACCCGGCTCCTTACAGCGAGATCTTTTTTTCTCTCACGTTTATTATCTCGGTGACTCCGAACCGGACGCTTCCTTTCTTTTATCGAACGATCCTTTAAATCGCGTATTTAATATTACTCCGGTTGAATATCCAGCGCCGTCGGAATTATTTATGACGCCGTTTGAAATTCATACTCGCTCGTGATATTCATCGCAAATTCGACCGCGATTGATCATATCGCCGCCAATGATGCAAAATATTCCGAACCTTAGAGAATATTTCGAACGCGATTCCCTGACTTCACGGTCTCGCACGGATAATGTTCTCGTCTGCGAACGAAAATTGCGGCGAGTATTTTCTGCCCAATTATCACGCAGAAAACGACGAAATCCTGTAGATGTATGGATCATAAAATCCGTATATATATATAGCTATCCATAAGAGACTAAAAATATAACGGTTTTATTAATGTATATATATATATATATATATAAATGCATTATGTCGTAATATTATAAAATTTGTCGTTTTATTTTTCAGTTGCAATGTTGCGGCATCGAGGGCCCGAAGGATTGGGACCGCAACAATTATTTTAATTGTTCGTCGAGCGATATAGGCTCGAGGGAAGCGTGCGGCGTGCCTTTTAGCTGTTGCAAGCGAAAACCTAATGTAATTCTCTCCATACTGATTATAGTATTCGCGTTGCTACTGTATTGCAGAATCATTTTCCATCGGATACTAATTCTATCGTTGAAAGTAAAACCGTCTTCTTATTTGTTTCAGGAAATCATAAAAAATAAACAATGCGGTTATGATGTAAGAAAGCCCAGTTACGTAAGTATAGCACCTTTATTCTATCGCTAATATCAATAAAAACATCTTCTTAATTATTTCTTAATTATTTTTAATTTCTTAATTAAAATAATACTTATTTTTGTCGTGTGGTAAATAACGTTTATCGTAAAAAGATTTGAAAAGTTAATGATCATGAATTAAGTAAGATGCGAAAACAACACCTGTTTTCCTTACGCAAACATATTATTTTCGATCAAATATATTTTCGTCCCTTCTTACTTTATGTTCCCCGTTCTTTGTGTCGGTCTTTCTTTAAGTTCATCCTATCTCGAAGTCCTTTTATCATAATTATATCTAACAAATTCCTCTACTCTTCAAGAACTATTGTTAACTTATATACTCCATACACCCACATATTACGAGTAACACCGTGGCATCCCGACCGTTTCTAGTTTCGCCTTGTTTCCGATTCGAAACTTGCGTCATTTTGTACCACCGTTACGAAAGTACGGTAAACCAAGTGGAACGTGCCTCAGAGGGGCCGAATAATTTGTCTTTGGAATCGCGCTCTATCGCGCGAGGCCAGATTCGAGATAGCGAAGTAGTTCTCCGGGGTAGTTTTGCGCGGGTCGCGCGCGCACGATTACACAATGTCTACAAGCGCGGGCAAAAACGATCCGGGTCAAGAAACTGTGGAACTTAATTAGAGAGAAAATGGTCGAGTCCAGAGGACGAGGAGAGAAAAGGGAAGATAGGTTGAGGGCAGAGGGATAAGAACTTCTGTGGAGGCTTTATTTTAAGAGTAGGTATATCATTCCCGATGTAATGGCACTAAGCCCGCCCCTTCGCTAATTACGCTTTCATCGAGAGAAGCCCTCGCCTCGTCGCTTAATTATATTTTTTTGTCGGAGAACCATTAAATGCGCCGCGATGCGTTACAGGCTGATAAAACGCGAGTAAATAAATAATGATAAAGCACTTTTTCCGAGCCAGTGTATTAAATGTCACCGATATTATCTACGTATATCACGGCCATCACGGGTACGTCGTACGTGTCGTAAATTAATAACAATTAAATTCGAAACGATTATCATACTCGGTCAGTTTTAGTTTGCAAATCGAAATAAAAACTCCAAACGCAAGTCGAATCACCGCGTATGGATCCCGTAAAAATCTGCTACACGAGGAAGAGAATCGACATTCCATGTATACCATCCGCGAATACATTCAGTCTCTCAATCGTTACACTCCACACTTCACATCCACACACGCTTCACGCAACAATGAGCATCACAAACACCTTATTATATTTCTCTTACTTTCCTTCTGTGGTTTAAACCGCTAAGTTATGCCCGCGCGTCAATCGATAAACCCTCTTAAGTTTTTCTCTCCCCGGGGCTGTGCTTTGTGGGTTCTCGTGGCATAAAAATATATTTATACGTTCGTTATGGGTAGCGATTAAGAAGAAAACGCCACTGTCGTTTTCTCATTCACGCCCAAAGAGCACACTTTTGTTGTCGTCAAGGGAGGGAGCGAAGCGTAGTATCGATGTTTACTCTCGCGTTATCGGTGAACCGCAGCCACAACCAGTGGCGTAATTTCGAGTCTCTGAGCTCGAGCAAGTATCCTTGTGTGTTGCTTTTTAAATTATTTCTATTTATCCCTTCGGGCCAACACAGACGGGAGAGAGGAGTATATTCGAGCGGGGTTGCCTAAGAGCGGGTGAGGAATGGCTAGAATTGAACCTCGTACCCGTCGCTGGTACCGTGGTCAGCACCATGGTTCTACAGGTACTTTTATCCTGAAAACTCTCGTCCGTTAAGCTGGGAAGTCTCAACTTTCTTCATTCATTGATCGACTTATTAATAATACATCGATCACTTTTTTCCGCAAAATATTCTACTTAAAATAACTCGGAAATCAAAATATACGATGCTTTTACGTAAACAAGTTTACAAAAAAAAAATCAAGCTAAGAATATTATTACTAAAAGAAAATCTTAAAATGGTAGATAAAAGGATGTTTAGATACTATGGTATAAGATATGGTATAATACATATTTTTCCAGATTTCAGTCCTATCATATTTTTCCAGATACAGTTGTCTACGTAAACAGCAATCCTCGAGTGATATTTCTATTTCCGCGAGTGTTCCTATTTTATTCGGGCGGAATTGCGCGGCGACGAAGAATCTCGCGAGAAATACGAGGCAACGCGGATTTTCAGAGGAACCGCCGCGCGTATGAATTTCGCGGCGGGAGAAATACCATACCAATATAAGACGTTCGCGAGATTGATAGCGCGACCGCCGTCACGGGAAGGGAAAGGAAAGTACGCGGACTATCGTTCGTTGCACTCGGCGTGACATCCGCGCGAGCGTGTATATTTCCGTCGTCTAATACGTAACGCGCGCTATTACACCTCAATGGCGTTTGCCTTACTTACCTTTCTAAAGGCGTACCTACGTGTGTGATGAATATTCTAGACGCGCCGATCGATCCATTTTTACACCGACATACGGTGCAAAGACCGGAAAAAGTAAACTTGGGCAAGAACCGGCGGGCAGACGGAGCGATCGACCGAGTGCGATGCAAAGCGGTTTACCGTTAAAGCTTTAATTCCATTAAGCGCGATGCTTTCCGCGCGATATGTCTTGACGCGACTGGCATTACGTGCAAGAAAGTTGCAATTTCCCAGCTTCTCGGTTACTTCAGTAAAGATGATTCGCTGTTTTGCGAACATGATGTTAGATCCGCATGTATGTTAGATGTGTAGACGTAACAAAAAATTCTGCACAAGTCTCGAAAATCATCGCCGAATGCCCTTTTTTAACTGAAGAGTTGATTCGAGATTATCTGATCGTGAGAAATTTAATTTCGAGTCGATTTATTATGAAAAGAATCAATGAAATGAAAAGGACATTCGGTGATTCGTGTTTATCTGTCTCGGTAATGTTCCACGACATGTATATTTCATATATATCGTTTCAATTTCTGCTTGATACGTTTTGTTCGGTAGCGTACGTTCGTTGCATTATCAAATTTAAAAATACCATTGTTATATATTCGCTTAAGCATATCTCTCCGTTATATGGGTCAGATAGCAAGTAAGTATCAGGAATGACGTGTACATCGTGTTTCCGATGCATTTTGTATCAATATGCGACAGCTGAGGGAGAATCGATACGGTAAGTACTACGTATATCCCGCTTCTAAACAAAAACGTCACGCGTATGGTACAAAACTCGCGGTATGGTATAGCCATTGAAGCGTAACTGTCCGAAGGAATTTTGTGTTCCGCATGACAACACACGGTTCGTATTACAGTATTCAGTTGCGCGTGCACAATGTGCACCAAGCATCTCCACTGAAATATGTGTACTTGTGCAGATTTGATTTTGCAAAAATCGAGTATGCCGAGTAGCCAATTCAGATATCTGCCAAACTTGTGGTCAACATTTATGATAATGATTTAAATATCTGCCAAACTTGTGGTCAACATTTATGATAATGATTCTTCATAGGTAAAATTTTAAGAGATAATATTTATAAAAGTACCAATATTATATAAAATATAATATGGAAATTTCATCTATTTTAGTTTTCATATTATATTTTACGAACAAATTTTTTTACTCAAATATTACGATATTTGCCTGTTGAAATTTTACCTAATTATTGTTAATTTTCTAAAAAATGTTACATGATTTCGTTGTCTCGCTTTTTTCATCTTTTTTTTTCTCTTTCGGAAACGCTACTTTCTGTATTGTTAAGTACATTATATACCTTAATGAAGATAGCAGCGTAAGTCATAAGCGCGTACACCGTACAACTATTCTATAAAAAAAATGTTTATACGAAGCTGGCACGCGATGCAATAATATAAGTTTTTCCTGTCTCATAATCAGTATGGTAAATTACCAACCCACTGCATAATCTTGACGGCTAGAATTGTATTACCTCACTTCGATGCGCAACAGACATCCGAAGAACCAGTTTACGCATCATAAACATGAGCGTTTCTCTCCCCCCCCCCCCCCCCCTCCCACCCACCGAACTGTATCAAATCCATT